GGGGGGGGGGGGGGGTCCATGAGTGGTGCTTGCCATGGTGCTGCTTGTGTTGGGGGTGGTGATGCTGGGTGTGGGGCACAGGAAATCAAGCACGTGAAGCCTCAGAACGTCCCCCATTTCCTGCTTCACTTCATGTCGGAGAAGTACGAAACCCACCTGGGGGGATTCGCCCACCTGTTCAACGCTGGTACGCCGCGGCGCGCAGACAGACGGGGGGGACCCCACGTGCACAATCTTGCCTTCGTGCAGACAAACAACTGGAGAGGGAGCGCCAGCGCGTCGCTGCCTTCTTCCTGCGATACGGGCTGCCGCTGGAAGTGGCTTCAAGATTCACTCGGGCTGGATTTGACAGCGTAGGCAGCTGACCTGACTGAGATGAGCGCGGGGAACTGACTCACGTCATGTCTCTGCCCTGCGGCTGTTTGCTGTGTGTGAAGATGGAGGTATTGATGTCTCTCGACCGAGATTCAGCGGTGGAGATCCCCGCCAAGTTCACCGGGGAGAAATGGCTGCCGGGGCACTACATTCGCATCCAAGTGAGCACCACAAAGGCACTTGCTCAATCCACTGCCTCCCTCCTTCATGTCTCCCTCCCCTCCTTCCCTCAGCAACTCTTCGATGACATCGTTTCCCGTGTCCACGACTTCAACACAGTCAGCTCCAAGGAGAAATGGCCAGCAGTCCTTGCCACTCGCTCTCTCTGTGTGTGCCCATGTGTCAGGAACTGATGGAGTATGACTATCGCACCCGCCCCGTGGCGGTGCCAGGGGCCAACCGGACGCCCAATCGCCCCTTCAGACCTGGCCAGCCCTACCGCGGCCTCCCATGCATTCCCGAAGACGAGGAGGTCAAGCACGCCTACACCAGACCGCCGTTTCGGTACCCCTTCCCGTCGCGAGAGAGGGCCGGCCGTCTGCCACCCCTGCCTCCTCGCCTCGCAGCCCACCCGCAGGCGCTGGAGATCGCCCGTGCCGTCGGTCTTCGCGGCATCTTCCAGAACGCGCCGGGCGTGATCGGGCCCAAGGACTACTCAGGTCAGTTCCCCCGTCTGATAGAGCCCGAGATGTCGGGTCGACGTGTGGCGATGGAGTCCTGGAAGGAGTATGACCGGATGCTGGCCCGTCGGCTGGGAATGGAGCGCGTCGCGGAGGGGCCGCTGTCCATGACCGACATGTGGGGCCGGGCCAGGCCGCGAAGCGTGCCGCCGCCCGTGTGGTACAGAAGCCCCTTTGGGGGACGTCCCATGTACGGCTACCCTCTGCTTGGGGGGCCGCCGTCACGACAGGTGAGCGAAGGAGAGAGGGAGGAAGCAAGCATGAGACTCACCAACAGCCATGGACATGCTCACTTGTGTGATCTGTGCAGGACACTGGATCGCGCGAGTTTGCTGAGGGTCAGGTTGGGTATCCGCCTCCTGGCTGGACGGGCAGAGAGCGTCTGAGTGGATTCCGCCCTCTCAGGGACAGAAACGTTCATCCGGTATTCACTGTAGTGCCTCATCTTTGCCATCGTCTCTGGGCATGGTTGGTCCTTCTGTGTGCCTTGTGGGCCCGCAGCATTCTCAGTATTCGGTGGAGGAGGGCTACCAGCCATACAGAGGTTCCGAGAATCGCCGTGAGAGATACCGATTCCGGCCTCAGTCCATGGTACACACAGAGATACAGAGGACAATACACTGTGTCTCATCCCTCCTGTGCTTGTGTGTGTGTCTCGTAAGACACCCCATGAGATTCTGGAGCACCAGCGGGAAAGGGAGATGGCGGCTCGTTCCGCCCTCCGTCTGCAGCGCCTGCAACAACAACGGCCGGAGGAGCGGGACTATTCACCCAGGGGCCTGTGGCGCAGAGTACGGGACTGGGTTTCACAAAAGGTGAGACGACGCATGCATGGATGGGGGGATGGTGGAAGGAAGGATGGATCATGAAGGCCTTCTGACTGACACAAGACGATGAATGTCTTCCATCTTGTTTGTGCAGGTGCAGAGTGGTATCTTCTCCGGCGGCGAAGAGGAGAGACGATCATCCATAGAGCAGCCGCCGCCTGACCTCAGAGAAGAATACGAACCGGTGGGATGAAGGACGAACCGAGCTGCTGACATGCCTCTGGACCTCTGCGTGTGTGTGTGTGTATGCCTTCCGCACAGCCTGTGATTGACGCCGCGTCTCACCACGTGTGGGATCCGCAGACCGAGGAGTTCGTGCCAGACCATAATGCTGCCTGGCGCGACTACATGCGGCACTATACCGATCGTGCCTTTGAGTACTACTATCGGTGTGAGCGGGAGGACCGACTGGACCGGGAGAACGGGGGCACCGGCCGCCGCCGGCCGCGTCTGCCGCTTCACCGATACTCGGCAGACGAAGAGCTGGGGCCTGAATACCCCAACTACTCCGCCTACAACAATCGACAGGCCGTCCGTACTCGCTACGCCCACCAGCTGCAGGAAGAAGCGGACCGTGAGGCGCTCTATGCGCAGCCATTTGAGGCCCCGCCCACCTATCGCCGACAGCATTCGCGACCACCGGCGCGTCGGCAGCAGCAGCGGCAGCAGCGGCAGCGATACGCTCCAGCTGCACCTCAGCCCCAGTACACGACATACCGCCTTCAGCAGCAGCATCAATCTCAGTACCCCACAACGGCCCACCCCTCTGCTCAGTACCAGCAGCAGCAGTCTCGTCCTCAATACATGGCACCGCAGCAGCAGCAGCAGCAGCAGTATGGGCCCACATACACGACCTACTCCACCCAGCGCTATGTGCCTGCGGGCGGCCAGGCCCCGCAGCAGCACCAGTACATCGCACCAGGGGCGGGCCAGCAGGGCGGACTGCCACAGACGACGACCCGGCCCGTGCCCAGGTATCCCGTGGGATATTGGACGAGTCAGCGGCAGCAACAGCAGCAGCAGCAACAGCAGCCGCAGTTTGGCGTTGGCCCCATCACATACTTGCCGGCACCTTCCCCGGCGTCGCCCCAGCGGCAGATCAACTTGCCGGCCGGCTATGTCAGACCCGCACAGAATCAGACGCCGCAATACACCGTATACCCCCCTCAGCAGCAGCAGCCGCAGCCGTATCAGTATCAGTATCAGTATGAGCACCAGCAGCAGTATGGGCCCTCAGCTGCCCAGTACCAGTACCAGCAGCTTCGCCCCCAATACACCACCACTGCTGCACCTGCCGGACACGCTGCGCCTGCTGCACCCGCTGCGTATCCCTACCGGGCGCCGATGCCCACATACCACACACCGACCACTCATGGTGGTGGTGCTGCTGGTGCCGTGGGGCAGCCCATTCCGGCCTACACCTACCAGGGGAGCTTCCCCACACCCTTCACATCTCCCAGACCCTCAAACACAGTAAGTAGGAGGGAGAAGGGCTTTGGGTGGGAGAGGAGAGACACGTGTGTCTGAATGACGCTGTGCCTGTGTGTCTCCTTGTTCCCTCTGTCTCTCCCTCTCTGGATGTGTGTGTGTGTGTGTCTATGAAGACCATCAACTTCACTCAGACGGCACGGCCCTCCTACCAATGAGTAGCGGGCGGCCATTGAAGCTTAATCAAGACAAATCAAGAGTCAATCAAGACGTGATTGCTAGGGGTTCCTTCAAGGTCGTTTGGCTGGTTGCATTACAGTGCGTGGATTGAGTGGATGGCATGGCGTGGTGTGGACTGGACAGATTACATGAATGAATGCTTTGAATGTGTTGTGTGAGTGGAGTGGCCGCTGGGTGGGGTGGGCAGGGCAAGCGGATGGATGGTCGGCTGGCTGTGGGTGGGTGGGAGGGGATATAGCAGTGATAAAGGCACGCGGGACTCGAACGGTTCGTTCAGGTCAACGCTGCTTGCTGAAAGGGCCACTGGTCCGTCACATCCATCGATCATATGTAAGTAGGTAGGTAGAGTCATGTGTGTGAAGAAAGTTCGCTCGCGGATCATATCATATCATATCATGGCCATGTGTGCACCGATCGCATCAACCATCACGTACAAAAACGCTCACTCACTCACTCACTGCCCACTCGCGTCACTCACTGCTTTGCCTTGCTGGGGGTGTGGTGTCCCGTGTCCTTCCTTCAATAACTTCATGTATGCCGTCGTACCGCCCCGTACGTCGGTAAGTAACAGTTAGAAGAGGAGAGCCTCTCTGCTTCCATATGGCATTCATTGCAGGGACACATCACCTCCTGGACTACACTCGCTGAAGGCCTGGCTGTCTCTCTCACGGATGCTCGTGTCTTCCTTCTAGTCACTTGCCTGTCTGCCCAAACGACATTTGGTGCACCCGCCGTGTGCCCATTTCCTCTTCGCTCCTCCACCGCTTCGAACTCGCCAGGGACCATCCATGGACACGGCCGATGGCGAGATCGAAGTGCTGGGGATGCGAAGAGGTAAAACGAGCACACTGTGATGTGGACCAGAGGACAGTCAGATCTAGATGCCTGCCTGGTGGGTCCCTTCCCCGTGTGTCAATTACGCTACGCCCTCTCTCCCCGCCCGCCAGTCCTCTCTCTTCCCCTATATATGCACAGTGCGATGGATGCGACAGACTTTCCTACCCAACCCACCCACCAGGCCAGGGGTTTCTTTCTTTCTCTCAGCCCCTTTCTCGGTCACTCCTTCCCTCCCGATGTGTCTGTCGATCTCTCTATGCACAACACACAAACAGATGGATGGATTTGACGGATGGATGGATCGAGGGTGGGGGGTGTTTTGGTGGGGATGGTACCCAATTACATATGTAGATAGCTACCGTCATGTATGTGCGTATGTCGCTATGTATGTCGCTTCGCCATTTCTCTCGGCTCTTTGAGCGCAAGATGTGCAGCGCCCGCGACGTACACAGCACACGGAAACACGACAGACACAGCGCACCACAACACACCACGCAGCACACGGCAGGCAGCAAAACGGGTATGTTCATGTAAGCGCTAGCTAGGTGGATCGGATCGGTGGTAGATCGGATCGTCAGCCAGGCCAGGCCAGGCCAGGCCAGGCACACGAACGGATGGGCCGACGGATGGACGGACAGACAGGCAAAACTCGCCGCCTCAAAAAGACTCTTCCTTGCGTGGTCTGGTCCCTCCCGGCTCCCTTGCCCTCCCTCCCTCCCTCCCCTTTGACGCAGGCCGGCAAAACCAAACCACCCCAAAAGGACCAAACCAACAAGAGATCGATCGGCAAAATCGCCATACATGCACCATGTGATGTGATGTGATTATGTATGTATGCTGTAAACACGACAGAGATGCCAGCCAGGCAGCGAGTGACCTGACCTGTCCGGCGTCCAACTAAAGCAGTCAGTCTTTCTCTACCACGTGTGTACGTTCGTGTGTGTTTGTCTGTCGCCTCCCCCTCTCCCCTCTGTCTTGTCTTGTCTGTGTCGGTGTGTGTATGGTCTATCTGTCTACGCGATGCTGATGCCCTCGGCGGGGATGAATTTGGACCCCAACTCGCTCAACGCCTTGTGCGCCTGACAGACAGACGGACAGGGACACGTACGTGCCGATATGATAGATGAGCGTGTGTGGTGTGGTGTGTGGGGTGCTGTGCCTCACTGACCATGGCGTAGTCTTTGAAGAAGTCATCCTGTGACGCGGCGTATTTCTCGGCGAAGGGCTTGAATGCGGCATCTGACCACACATCACATCCAGCCACGGAGGAGAGGATGGCATTCATTGACAGGAGCGAGATTCTGTATGTGATTTGGCTGGCGTAACTGACCCTCGAAAAGGCACTTGTCGGTGTCGAGTGCGAGCAGGTCGCCGTCGACCTTGTCCTTGACTACCTTAAAATACCTGCAGGCACCCATGACACGGGTGGACCAACATACACCACACTCACGATGGTCACACGTGGTCTGTCTGTCATGAATCTTACGAGTTGTCGAAGGCCAGCCATTTCTCGGTCCAGGACTGACCGCCAGCGTGACCTGACCGACGCGGCGCACACACACACATGCAGCACAGCACATGCGACAGACACATTGGCGGCTGCCTGCCCCATAATGTTATTCTGTTGTGCTGTGACTGAGCTGACCCATGCCGGGTTTGCCGTCGCCCCGTGGCTTGGCGCCGCCCTTGGTGAACTTGGTGCACTCGTCCCCAGCACCAAACCCACTGCGATCCTGCACATACCCACACCACACCACACCCACACCCACACACGCCATGTGTGTGTTCGGCTGGTCCGGTCTGCATGGACTTCACTTCACGTACCGTTCGAGCGCGTCCGATCGTGTGTGCGCCGGAGAGTGCTACGATCTCCTTGTCGCCCAAACCCATGCTGATGGATGGATGGATGGCACACGGACAGGCAGGATCTGTCTGTCTAATATCTCTTTGCCTGCCTCACTCACCGATAGAAGATGTCCCGCAGATGTTCCGGAGCCGACTTGGCCTTGCCAGGCCAGGGGGCTCCGCCGGCAGGCAACGTGCCCTCAGGGGTGCAGTCGCGGCCAGACACGGCATCGATGCGCCCATACCTGACACACACATGTACACACACACACACATACACACAGATGAGGGCGGAACGTCCTCGTCTGTCTCACTTCATCGGTATCTTGGGGCCGCCCGCGAGTTCGATGGCTGTGGCGCTGGCCATCTGCATGAGGTCCGCCCAGGACACGTCGAAGAACTCCTTCTTGATGGGCTGCAGCAGCTCCAGAGCCTTGGCCAGACCGGCGTTGCAGCCGTGGGCGATCTCGGGCTCGAAACGGATCGACCCGTTCGCACCGCCGCAGCGAGGCCAGTGCTCGATCTGCAGTGCAAGGGGGGGCAACAGTCACCCAACAGACAAGACAAGATGAGTGAGTCGCTCGCGTCTTTGGGGTGGGGGTGTTGGTTGTGTTGTGTATGCTGTGCGTAGCGTACGCCGATGGCCTTGGTGAATGTGCCTGCGTCATGCCAGCCCAGGCGCACCATGATGGGGTGGCAGTTCTTCTCGTCAATCAACTTGCTCAGCGCCTGCAGACAAGACACACGCAGCGCAGCCACAAAAACACAGATGCGCATAAATGAGAGCTCCGCTCGACAGACACGTAAGCGACCAGACCATCCCCGCCATCCATCGTGCTCACCTCTTTGCACTGGCGGAGTCGTTCGGGGGTGGGGGGGTCGATGGCGATGCCCTCGGCGGGGTAGAACTTGCTGCCCAGCTCGCTCAGCAGGTGGTGCGACTGGGCGTAGTCTTTGAAGAATGCCGACTCGTCGGTGGCGTACTTCTCGGCAAAGGGCTTGAAGGCCGCATCTGACACACGGACGGGGAGGGAGGGAGGGAGGGAGGGGGGGAGGGACACATAGCAGGGTGCCTGCCTGACTGCATGTCATGTGAGTTGCTGAGTGGTTTGACTGACTGACCTTCGAAGAGGCACTGGTCGGTGTCGAGTGAGAGCAGGTCCTCGCCGCCCTTCTGCTTGCAGTAGGTGAAGTAGCTGACAAGAACGAACAGCGTGTGTGCGCGCGCAAAAGGTGACTGACGTGTCGGTCTTGTGTGGGCCCTGTGCGATGCCGCTGTGTGTGCTTACGAGTTGTCGAAGGAGAGCCACTTGGGGGTCCAGGACTGACCGCCGTCCGTCTGGCCTGGTCAGCCAGACGCACACAACGACAGACAGAGTCGGATGGGCAAGGGAGACAGACAGACCTGCTTGTGCTGTGCTGTGCTGTGCCGTGCGTGCGGTAGACCTTACCATGTCCCTCCTTGCCATCCTTGCGCACGAGGCACTTGCCGGTCGTGTACTTGCAACCCTTCTCGTCCAAACCAAACCCACTGCGGAACTGCACACCACACACCACACCATTCTCCTCCCTCCCTCTCTCCCTCCCTCCCTCCCTCTGACCTTGTAGGCGCGTCCCAGTGTGTGCGCGCCCGAGAGCGCCACGATGTCCTTGTCGGAGAGGCCCATGCGGTGGAAGACGTCCCGCAGGTGCTGCTGGGGCGTGCTGGCACTGCCCGGCCAGGGGGCCCCACCGGCCGGCAGGTTGCCCTCCTTCGGACAGTTCTTCGGAGCCCACGCATCCAAACGACCATAACTGCACAACCCCATTGATTCATCACGTCACACGAACGACGCACATACAGATCACTCACTCCCCCATCGCTGGCTGCCCTCCCACTGCACTGACCGCATGGGAATCTTGGGGCCGCCGGCCACCTCGATGGCTGTGGCGCTGGCCATCTGCATGAGGTCGGCCCAGCTGATCTCGGGGAAGGACGCCTTGATGGGCTTCAGCAGGTTCAGGGCGTTCTGCAGACCCGCGTTGGCACCGTGGTTGATCTCCGGCTCGAAACGGATCGACCCGTTGGCACCGCCGCAGTTGGGCCAATCGGTCATCTGATTGTTAGTGAGTGGCGGGCGGGGAGGAGAGAGGGTGCAGGTGTGCATGTCTATCGTGTGTGTGACAGGACAGGTAGGTACCGGCATCTTGGCGTCATACGTGCCCGAGTCGTGCCAGGCCAGCCGGATGAGGATGGGGTGGCAGTTCACCTCGTCGACCATCTTCTTCAACACCTGCAATGCACACACGACAAACACGACACGATGGATGCGCGGCGACGGCAGTGATGCGCAAGGCAAGGAAAGGCTGAATGCCGCTCGTGTGCCTCCTGTGTGTGTGTGTGTGTGTGTGACCTCCTGGCACTCCTGGAGCCGTTCGACGGTTGGTGGGTCGATGTACATGCCGTCCGCAGGCTCCCACTTGCTGCCCAACTCACTCAACGCCTTGTGGGCCTGACACACGCGTGTGCACAGGAAAGGACAGACCGGTCAGTCAGTCAGAGTGGGATGGACGCGTGTCTTGTCTTGTGCAGGCTGGACTCACTGACAAACAGACCATGGCGTAGTCTTTGAAGAATGCCGACTCGTCGGCGGCGTACTTCTCGGCGAAGGGCTTGAAGGCAGCATCTGACAGGGAAAGAAATATGGATGCATCGGTGTTGCGGCTGGCATATGTGTGTGAGTGTTGTCAGATCTGATCAGATCACCTTCGAAGAGGCACTTGTCGGTGTCGAGTGCGAGCAGGTCGCCGTTCATCTTGTCCTTCAGCACCGTGAAGTACCTGCATCACCCCATCCCACCCGGGGACACACAGCTCCGTGCAGTGCGTGCACAAGCAAAGCAAGTGTGTGTGTATGCTCTCTCTCCCTTATGGCTTACGAGTTGTCGAACTTGAGCCAGTTGGGGGTCCACGACTTGCCGCCGGGATTGCCTGACACACACCATACAAATGAAAGGTAGGTCTCGATGTTACTCACTCTCCCTCTGCACGTGTGTGTCGTGTCTATGTGCCTACCGTATCCCTCCTGTCCGTCGCCCCGTGGCTTGACGTCGCCCGCCGTGTACTTGGAACCCTCGTCGCCAGCACCAAACCCACTGCGATCCTGTTGTGTGCGCCGTGCCAGGACACGAGAGAGAGAGAAGGACATACACTTTCACATACCGGTCGGTCATCCGACCTTTGTGTGTGTTGTGTTTGTGTGTATACCGTTCGAGCGCGGCCCAGTGTGTGCGCTCCCGACAGGGCCACGATCTCCTTGTCACCGAATCCCATGCTGATGAAACATATTCACACACATCCCGTTCCCATCCAGCAGCTCATTCTCTCTGTGATCTCTCTCTGCCCCTCCACTCCCCTCCCCTCCCCTGCCCTCCCTCCCTCACCGATAGAATATGTCCCGGATGTGTTTCTGAGGGCCGTCTGCGCCCGCGGGCCACGGAGCACCGCCGGCAGGCAGGTTGCCCTCAGGCGGGCAGTCGGCCCCGCCAAACACGTCCAATCGCCCATACCTTTACACACACATAACATAAGACGACACGCGAGGGAGGGAGGGAGGGTGTGCAGTGCAGAACACACATCAATCACATGGGTGCGGTGGTGAGGTGGTGAGGTGGTTGCCTTGCTCACTTCATAGGGATGCGTGGGCCGCCCGCGAGTTCGATGGCTGTGGCGCTGGCCATTTGGATGAGGTCGGCCCACGACACGTCGAGGAATTTGTCCTTGATGAGCTGCAGCAGCTCCAGTCCCTTTTTGAGACCCGCATTAGCACCGTGGTTGATCTCGGGCTCGAAACGAATGGAACCGTTCGCACCGCCCACCTGCAACCGACACACATCACACATCACACATACAGAATGTCTGTGGCTTGCTGGCTTGTGTCAGCGAGCGCGAGTGTGCGGTGTCTGCGTCTTACGGCTGTCTTGCAGTCGTATGTGCCGGCGTCATGCCAGGCCAGCCGCACCATTATGGGGTGGCAGTTCGTCTCGTTGATCAGCTTGGCCAACTCCTGCACACACAGTGGATTGACAGACACACCAGCCCCCCCACCCTCTCGTCTCCGTCACATGAGCTGTGTCAATCAATTTGTGTGTGTTGGCCTCACCGCACGACAGTCGCGGAACGTCTGGCGACGCATCTCTCGCACCACCTGGAGGCACACACATAGACACACACACATGCACATATTGCACCGTCCTCGAGAGCGACCTTGCTGTTGGCTACCTCCTCGTTCATGTGTTGCCCGTTCATGGTTGCTGCACACACACACACACACAGAGACCCACAGACACACATCCAGACACCACACCAGACACAATGGCACCACGGACACACACGTCCACCGCCTCCTGCCCTCCTGCCTGTCTGTCTGCAGGTCAGTCAGGTTGCTCCCAGCGATGCGATGCGGCTGTCAGATGCGCTACACTTTCACCCTGCCAGAGGCTACGGATCTAGCTACAGGTGGACGGCACACCCGCTGCCTCGCTCGCCCAGCCCAGCAGTCCCTCGGCCGGGCGTCAGCCAGCGCAGACCAGCTCAGCCCAGCAGCACAGCCTTGCAGGCCGCCGAGTGTGTGTCTTACGGGTAGTGTTGCCGGCAATGTCGCAGCACATCTGCGTGAGCTTCCATAGGGTGGACATCTTGTGTGTCGTGTGCCTATCGAGTGAAAGACTCTCTTGCCTCGACGACTCACGCCGCTCACCGAAAATCAGCCGCTTGTCGAATGGCTTTTCGCCCAGAAGGCAGATCACAGCCGCTCGCCACTCAGCAGGACCAGAGAGAACTCCAAAACTCGGGAAACAGCTCTGTGTCTCGGGATCGGCAGAGGCGAAGCGTTTCACGAAGGCGTTAGGGTCTTGACACTAAGCCGCTGCTTAGCCAGCCGTCCTCGGACATCACCTCACTGATTTCCTCTCGAAGTGCCTCTCGCTAGACATCAGTATGTCAGTGGACACCCTGACGATGCGCCCCTCCCTGCCTGAGTCTCCCATCGAGGTCGACTCCCCCGCCCAGTCCCCTCTCCCCGCCCCACATCCAGCCCTCCGGGACCTCAAGCTGACCGCCACAGACATCGAGCAGCTCAAGAGCGGGCACCAGCAGGTGTTCTCCACCTCCCTCAATGTGTCCCGCGACGGCCACAGCTTCGTGCTGCGGTTCGAGCACCGCTTTATGTTCGAGGGCATGGACGACGACGCCAGCGGCAGATCGATCGTCCTCAAGGGCTATGCCATGCCTTATGGCGGCGGGGAGAAGGAGGGCGGTGGCTGTGGCAGTGGTGGTCTGCTGCTGAAGTCGCGGTCGAGCTCGTCGGTCATCTCCACAGCATCGACCGTCGTGGATGCGGACAACAGGAAGGCCGACTACCTAGTCACCATGAACGGTAAGTGAGTCACATACAGGATAGCACATCATATGGGACAGACAGATAAGACATGTCTCGTCTCACATGTGAGTGATTGGGATGGCCTGTCTGTGCTGTGTGGTGGTCAGGCTCTCGGGCCGAGCTGGTTGAGGTGTGCGATGGCCACCCTGTCCCCAAAGACAAGGAGTCCTTCCCGCACTTCCCGAAGGTGCGTTGCGTGAGAGCGCCAGCCAGCCAGCCAGCCAGACACACAGACCTGACCCACACATACGCTACTCTGCATGACCTCGCCTTGTGTGTCGGATGGATGGATTGATGGCTCAGGTGCTGTCCGCCGAGGGGCTGCTTCGAGCCAACTCACCGTCATACCAGTGACACCACCACCACCACGACGCCACTAGACAGACCAACGAGCGGGCGGGCGGGCGGATGGATGGCATGGTTGAGTGACTAGCTACTGATTGCGTCCTCTAGAGCTGTGTCGTTGGGTTTTGGCAATGATAGTTGCATAGAGATGGGCAGGGCAGGGGGGCAGGGTAGGGGAGGGATGTGTATGTCGTCTCTCCCTTGGACATAGTGCTTGCAATGGTCTGTCTGTATCGGATCGGGCTGCTGCTGGTGTGCTCCGTGTGGGAGGGGCGCCTGCGGCTGGTTGACAGGGTAGCACTGCTAAGGACTAGCAGCTCTGCCCTGTGAATCTTCCCCTGGGACTCCTCACGTACGCAGCAAGCGACAACCAGCCAGAGACAGACATAGAGTCAGTCAGCACATTAGCCCTCGCTATTTTGCCCTTCCTAGCACGGCTGTGTTGCCTGCCGCTCTCTCAACTCTCTCTCTCTCTCTCCTGATCTGTCTGGCTGCCTGCCTGCCTGCCTCTGTCTTCTCTTCCTTGCCCGGCTTGCCCAGTCAGTCACCCAGTCAGTTCCCTCTCTCCCTCTCCCCCCTCCTTCCCTCTCTATTACCTCTCGCCGTGACCTCGCCTTTGTTGCTTCCCTGGTTTAAGGCTGCCTCACAAGCATGGCCGTGCTCGGAATGGAGCTCTTTTTCGGTTTTGCCTGCACATCATCACAACCACCCACCCCACCCAGATGGCCTGCCTTGCCTTACTCGGTAGAATGCACGACAAAGCTGAGAGAGAGCTAGGAGAAGAGGGGAGGGGCGTCGAGTCAGTCGATTGAGGGAGGGAAGCTATATAGATCGATGGGTGTCTGTTGGTGTGCGTGTGCATGTCGATGTCTCTGTCCGTGTGGTGTGCCTGTTGTTGGGTGTCTATACGTTTCTGTCTGTGTGTATGTGTATGTGTATGTGTATGCGTGTGTGTGTGTGTGCGTGTGTGTGCGAGCATTGAATTGAATGGCTGGCTGGCTGTCGCCCTATTCGGGCGAGGCACCGCCGCACTCTAAGTTTTGGAGAGCCTCCTACATATCTATCTTCCGTCTGTGTTGCAATCAATGAATGGCTGGGTGGGTGGCTGGCTGGCTGGATCGACTGACTGAATATGCAGAAGTGATTGGGTGGGGTGGGGTGGGGTGGCATGGATGTGTGCCTTGCCAAGGATGGGACGACTGACTGCACTCGAGTGGCCGGCTGCTTGTGGTGTCACTCACGTCACGTCACGTCAGAACCGATTTTGTGTGCGTCGACCGACCGGACTGACGGACGGACGGACGGACTGGCTGGCTGGCGTGGGGAGAGAGGAAGGGCAAGCAGCGGAGAG